ATGTGCAATGGAAGGTGTATAAGCACCCAAAAGGTGTTTCATATCACAGAGTGCGCTGGTGATTTCATGTCGCTTTAGTTTCTAAGATACATTGAATCTGTAATTGCTGCTTCACCTCTTAAATGTGAGCTTAAGCTAACATGAATGAGAATTCATAGTTTAATGACTTCTGAAAATCTCATCCCGACGGGCTTTTACGTTCATTTTACTTCAAGTCATTACTCCAACAACAGCAACCGTTTCAAAACCATGTTGGTGGTCATCTTTTGGTTCAAATTTTGCTTTCAATGAAGATAATAAAGTCTGTGTTCAGAGGACGAATAGCGGCAAGTAAGGTGTATAGCATTATTTATATTTATTTATTTATATCAAATGGCAAGCTTTATGATAGTTATCATTAGCCCTTTAGTTGACTTCAGGCTTCACAGAGAGGAGGAGGAATGTCAAAGAGAAAAGAGTCAAGGGGGTGAACAGAAGAGTGTTTAAAGATGTTAAAAAGACAGACATATACAAAGTCAGAGAAAAGTAGGATACGTACGGTGGAAGTGATTGAATATGACATACAGTAGAGTCATGGTAGTTTGAAGTCAGAAGTTACCTGCCGATAAATAGACTATTTTGCCGTATGAGTATACGTTTCCCAGGGTGCACCACGTGGAGGTAGGTCTATCGCACACCCCTACTTAAGAATATAAACTGTATAGCATTATAGAATAATGGAAATGGATCAGTTGGGTACGGGAGTGTACAAAAATTATAAAATCTGATTTTTTAAATTTAGGTTGGTTTACGTTGGTGTCTACTTCGACGCGTGGAACTGCAAGTCAACGACTCAAAATCTCCGGTGTCTCCTCTCGTTTGGCTACCAAATGGTCTTCTCATGTTCCATCACAATTCCAACATCTACCTCTTTAGTCAGTGGTCATCTTCTAAAGACAATGGCAGTAGTTCTCTTATCCCCACCAAGCTGTTTGAGCAAGATTCTTCTTGCTATGGTTTTGTCAGCGTTAAGGCTTCTCGTTTGAGCGAGATTTATTGTAATCTTAGTCTTACTAAACGCCTCTCGAAGCAAGAGATTGAAACAAGGTCGTGTCTCAAGAGGTATCAGAGGGCGGCTAATCCTTTCAAACAATCCTTCTATGACAATCTTGGACTTTTTGAAGCTGCTCAGGTAAATTGAATTAACTTGGTGACGGTTTATATTCTTTGATAAGTCAAAGTTTAGTACTTAGTAAAAAAGCAGAGATTAAATGCAACAATGTATGTTTATACGTTTGCCATTTTACACATCATTGTCAGTGATCTGCATTGGTTGGAAATCGCCTCCTTTTGTTAGAAATTGCCTACGTTGATCGAATTTCTTAATTTTAATTAGAAAGTTCTATATATTTATATTTGGACGATACAGTGGTTTGCTTAAATTTACACTTTTCGATGTCAATCAGTTGAGGCCTTCTATTTCACTTTCTACTTGTGTGTCTTTAGGTTGGAGATATTAGGTGTAACCTGGCAATTGGTAGTATTTGGGTTTGTCATCTGTAAGGTTGGCTTCCATGATTGTGAATGTCAATATCGTAAGTATGCGGGGTTTTCTGAATTTCGACCTTAATGTCTTGTGGCATCACTCCAGCATTCCACTGAAGGATCTATAGAAGTTGTGATTCGCCCTTACAGGGACTATTTCTCTTATTGTTTCGCGTCAAGCTGATCATAATAGCTTCAAATCAACTGCCGTATGAGTCAACTGCCAGGTAATAGACTTTTTTGCCGTATGAGTATACGTTGCCCAGAGTGCACCACGTGGAGGTAAGTCTATTACGCATACCATAAAAAGTC